AAATGGTTGAAAGGGAATGGAGAGCCATCCCTCAGAACACCATCCATGCTCTTATTGACTCTATGCCTAGACGTGTTTCTTCATGCATCGCTGTACGAGATAGTCCTACATCCTACTGAGTAGACGCCGTTCTCGATTCTATCATTTTGAAATAAAGATCACTTATTGCTGCTTTCTGTCTCTGTCTTTTTTTCCAAATTTCATCACTTTCTGATCACTCCTTCTTGGTGTTGCATTTTCAATGTCGAGCAGTGTATTTGAATGGATTCTCTTAATCGTAGAAAACAAATGTATAAAATTTTGATTTAAATTAATAATTTTCAAACATGGAGGTAGTTTCCTGGCATGATCAAAAAAGAAGATATTTTCAAAAAGATTGTTATAAAAACCAATGGGAAATTCAGTATCAATAAAAAATTTGCCATGCATATGAAACCTAAACTTCATGGCTGCAATTGGGAAGCTTTTAATCAGAAAGGATGTTTGTTGGAACCAATGTTTGAGGGAATGGCGAGAAATGAATTCGAAGGAGCCCCTTTTATTGGGTCACTGTATATATTTAGATCAAGTGGGATATGCATATTTGGAGTGTGTTAACACATAATTATGAATGTTAATACTTAGAGACATGAAGTATTTAAAAAGTATATTTTTCATAAAATTTTTGTAGGCATCCATACATCTTTCAAAATTTATTTCAATCCAGATACTATTTTTTGATTTTGTTCTGAAATCAAAGCTGAAAATTTACATTTATCTCTTGTTTAAAATATTGCTTTCTCTCTAGTTAGAGCCATAGTTCTGATTATTTTACTGCTATTCAATAAAAATGTTAAAATATTCAAAATTCAAATATTTTAATATGTGCAGCACAGCACATCTTTTGTGTTTAATCAATGAAACTTTAATTGTTTATATGTCCTAAACTGTCAAATTTATTGATTTTCAAATTTCTTACTTTAATATTTACCTATCTGAATGACGAAAATATAATAAAAGAACTAAAATGTGAAGTTCTTTAAGGCAGTATTGCTAATGTAAGGATGGTGCATGTAAAACTAGCCCGTTTCCTACTGCCAGCCTCTACTATTGCGATTCATTGTTGAAGAGAATGCATTCATTGAGCTTCTTTACATGATTTTTGTATGTATGTCTCAATGGCTTTTATACTGACAGTGGGATAATCTACGATATTCACAATAATAAAGTAGCTGAGATGAGCTAGCATCTGTTTCTATATACACATGCAGGCTGATTTTTTATAACCCACCTTGTAGTTGCGAAGAAGGTAGACATTCCACAAAATCAGAAAGTTTCTGAAAATTAGAAAAGGAATCAGATTGATAAATGATAATACAATTTTTTATCCAGAAATTATATGTGTTATTTTTGTATTCTGCTTTCTGAATTCTTGTGCGGGGAACAGTTTTATGTGAAAATTTGTACTCTGTGCTGGTTATAAAAAAGGGTATTTGTTTGACAGTAGAATTTGAAATTAAAAGCTTGTCTTCTTCTTCTTCTTTTTTTTTTTTTTTTTTTTTTTGTGTGTGTGTGTGTGTGTGTGTGTGTAATTTAAAAGAAAGTCCAATCAAGTCTGTAACTTGATAAATTATTCATTCCAAAATATAAAATAACACAGAATCATTTATGAGCAATGGGAAAGAAAGAAATCTGTGGTGAAGAATAGTACTGAAAACAAGCTTTATTATTCAGAAGCATTTTGAACCTAAGTAAGTAACTGCAAAGTAAAAAATGTATTTGATATTACTATTAACTCTTTCTCAGCAAGAAATATTAGTTACTTGTAAGAAAACAAAGCATATTGTAATAACAATTTATACTTCATAAACCTTCAGATTTTTTAGACATATTTGTAAAAACAGCTAAGTTGAACAGATTTCTTATAATTGTAAATTAAAGGGATGTACATCATATAAATTATAAACGTTAATTTATTTTTGTAATATTTCTGTAAATTCATATTCTAACATTTATAAAGTTCAAATGTTTGTATTATTGTCATATAAGAACAGCTTAATTTCTTAAGTGGTATATTATTATTTTATATTATTTATGAATAGCAACAGTAGTTTTTTAATTCTTATTTATAATTTATGAAAATTAAATTTTTTGAATATATATGTAATCTATTTCATTATAAAATGGGCCCATGAACAGCATTAAAAAAGTTCTGTCAGGGCATGGATACCTTAATCATACATAGTACTTGCATAGTTTAAATAACTATCGGGTTTTTATCTTAGTATATATATTTTTATTTTTATTTGGTATTATAAATTAGATTTTCACTTGTGATTTGAATAATTCAAATAGTGATTGACTATATTTAGGTCCTTACTCATATGTTAGCAGTTAGTTGTAATTCTGTTTCAGAAATTTTCATAAATTTAGAAATACATGTATATATAATTTTTATTTTCCCTAAATAGATTTGAATATGACTTACTATAGAAAATTCTGATGATGTAAAAGCATTTCTATAATATCTGGTGTCATTTAAAAAAGGAAATATTTGAACTTTTCTATCCTTTATAATTTTTTATACAGCCTGAAATTATTCTGTCGAGTCTAAAGTATTTGAAAATACAGCATTTGCTTAGTAATCTTAGAATTAGCACCCCCAAAAAAACCTTTGCCCAAATGTACTCCCTTTCTTTTCAGAAATTTTTCTTGAGATATCGTAGTACCAAGGTGACAGGAAACCTTACATTGATTTATTCCTTCTGACCAATTCCCTGACTAACCATAATTAGATGACACCTAGCTACTGTTCAAGTATCTTTCAAGGCTATATAGCTCATTTGGAAATCATATCAGAGGGAATTAATTATCTGCAAGAGTTCCTAAACCTGAGATTACTGTTTACAGTGGGTATTAATGCCATGGCGAAGTTGAATGCATGAAACAAAAAATTTGTAAAAAATCCATGAGAACTTAAGCCAATTTTAATTATATTTTTACCAAATTAATTTTAAAATATACATTAAATTTCATACCCCAAAAAACATAGCGCCTGGAATGACTATCCATCTTTCCTGCATCTTGATATTATGCAGCTACATGAGTGAAAACAAGTCATTGTGTGACTAAACTGATTCTTATGAATATGAAGTAACAGTAAAATTTTCATGTAGCATATTTTTATGTGGCAGAAGTGAGCAAAAAAAGACAAATTAGACAATTTTTTAACATATAGTGCTACTATTAAATCTGATTCGATAATATTTTTTATCTAACATGGGAGGCAGTATGGAATACAATAAACTGATATTACTCTTAAGAAGCTAACCATTTAATCCAAATGCTATATTTAAAAGTGTGTATGATTTATTAGATATATAAACTTCATGTAATGTACTAATAAAAAATGAAAGTGTTAAACTACATTATAAAGGCAAACACAATTAATAGTATGCAATATATGTGTTGATGTTAAACTAAAACCTGTGTATAAAATAGAAAGTATTCTGGAAATAAGAAATATTTTTAACATTTACAATTATTTTTTCCTTTTATGCCAAGTGTCACTATCTCTAACTAAACACCAGAAGTAGTCACCTGTCATATTAGGGACCCATCTATTTTAATATCTCTGTTAATTTTTTGAATATCATGTTGGAATCTTTCTCCTTGTTATTTAGTCACAACTCTTTAAGTTTTCAGAGAAAATGTCCAAGTAGCTATAGCAATGTAGAAAGTGAACTTCCAGAGATGTTTTGTTTCCTAGCTTATTGTATATGTCAAGGAGTTCTTAAAATCAATTGTTGGTAATTTTCTGCTTTATTTTTTCCTGGAAATCAGTACATTGTTTCACCAAAGACTTCCATACTGCTAAAGCGATCACCATTAATCTGAAATGAAAATTTCAATGATTGTATCCATTTCATATAGGGAAAAAATTAATATCTATAAAAATTACTACTTCTTGACTTCTTTTTTCTCAAATAAATACGTGTTTAGCAGCTAAGCATGTGAAATCTCATCTAAGATTTTATTTAAAACATGAAAGAAAATATGCCATAATGTTATCTCCTTAGAAATACAAATTCTGGAAATTTAATTTCTAGAATGGCTGCCTAATGTTAAATAATCTGACCGTAAGAAGAACATATAAACTGACACTTACATGAACTTCAAGCTGACAATGTTCAAATGTTAATTATTGAGAGGCTAATAGATGTTTGCATGTAGAGATTTGCATAAAAGTGGACAATTAAAATTTATAATAGCATAATAATATCTAATTTTGTATGAAAATTGGAAAAATTGCTTCTGAATCTTTTTAAGGAACATGTGGTGAATATGCCTGGAAAACATCAAGTGCGTTGGAATAAAGTTAAGATTCAAAGATTAGCAAGAAAATTATCTGATGGCTGGCTCTTGGGACCATCTAGATAAATGCAATGGCAGATATTAAAATTAATAGAGTGCAAAACATTATATTGTTGTGACAAATATTAAGTATGAGATTAATGGCTAAAGAATTTGAGTTAAATCAAGAAAGATTTAGACAAAATTCTTTATCAAATTGCTAGACATGAAAAAAGATTCCTGTGCAGTTTGTGCCTCATATAGGCAGTTACTGTGTATATTTTCTAAGAGATCTGTTGCCCCTTCATGAGGTAGGTACTCAAGTGACTGCAGAAAATAAGTTCCATGCCAGCTTCCAGAAAAGGGAAACTAGTAAAAGGAACCTTCTTAGAATTAAACTATCATATCTTTTGTTTATTATTTATAACTATGTCATATTTAAATACATAAATAAAATAGATGACTTTAGTGCATAATAAAAGACGCATGCTTATTTGTAAAAATTTCAACTTTTATGTAAATTAAGTACTACCTATCAATACTTTATTTTTAATAACTGCTAATTTCGCATAATGTTGCAGTAAAGTTAAAAAAGGGGAGGGATTTATTGTAAAATTGTTATTTTAATTTATGTATCTAATGTAATAATTGTTTCCTCTTTATCTCAGAGCTCCAGATCTGAAGCAAGTATGGAAACCAGGAGGCTCATTATGGCATAATCAAGATGCTGTCAGAGAGCATGGTATTTTTATATAAATTATAATTCCTGTAGTTGAACTGTACATTTCTTTGTATTCTTTTTTATTACATTTGAAATAAAGGTAGAAATTTGGTTCGAAATATCACACCCATTGCATTTCATAACTCTGTATTTACTGCATATTGTTTTTAATTACTTTATAAAGTCTTGCTCTCTTTGGTGACATAAACTGTGAGAACTCTACATAAGACATAAGCGATTTATCACAATGTGTTGGAAATTACAACAGAGTTCATGAAGGGTGTAAAAGACCCTTTTATTTACTTTATTACTTACTTACTTTTTTATTCACTTGAGTACCTTAAGTAAAGGTTAATGGAAGGTACTGCTCTTGCTTACAGAAACAGCCAATATGTATAATCCAAAAAGTAATGAATTGTTGAATACATTTTAGTTAAAGGTTACTCAGACAGAAAATGCACAAGTTGGCTCTGACTTAATATCGGTGTGATAAGCCTAGTAGTGAGAATAACACAGTGCTGCAGATAAACTGCTCTTAAGAGAATCAAGTAGCAAATACGGCCTTCAGCAGGCAGAACACACTCTGTTTTTACCATCTAAAAACCTTCATTTAAATACTGTCTCTTTTCTACCTCATTTGAGTATGCTAGCAATTAGCATTCTGGTAGAAAAATGGAAAGTGAGAAAGTCAAAAAGCTGATTAACATAAAATGACTGTTTAATAAAAGTAAATGAATGGGCTACAGATTAAATTATTAAAAATGATATTTTTATTGAAGACTATATTTTATTCTGATAGAATGGTAATCATATGTATCAAATACAGAAATTAACTTTTGAGGTTTGTAAAGTATTTCATTTATGTTCATATTTTCTCAAACTTAATTTTTTTTTTCTCCTTTTAAGATGCTCTGTTGGAAACCATATTTATCAAAAGCTTCGAAATTGCAGGGTTATCTCATTTGCAAGACTTTCTTAGGTTTAAGGCAAATTTGGTAATTTTTTTAGCAGAGCCGACAATTTATAATATTTTTTCACTTTTCAGAGAATACTTTTCTAACTTTATTTTATTTTTGAATATGCCAGATAAGCATTCTGAAAAATCAAATCTCAAAATTTGATTTTTTTTTATTATTATTATTAGCTAGATCAACTGTATGCCTGGAGAGATGCAAACATCATACATAAATCACTTTTGCAAATGGCAGCTTATGTTTTACTTTTTCAATAAAATACTCTTTTATTATTATGAGATGCATCTGAATATGAAGAATTCTTTTCAAAATGACTATTCATAGTTTCAAATCATTATGTCATCTTAAGAAAGGAAACTTTCAGTGATTACAGCTGTTGGCGATGGCAGTAGATTTAACTTCTTCAAAACTTTTGGAATCCATTAAAGAAAAATGTTTAACTGCAGCTTATTAATTTATTCATACCTTTACAATAATAAAATTAATTAATTACAAAATAAATGGCAAATAATGTAGCAAAGAATAAAAGTTAATGAAAAAAATTATCTTTTCATTATATTTTAAGTGAACAAAATTTTAAAATAAGGGAAGTAGTGGAGTAAATCAAAGCAAAACACATTGCAGAAGCTTTACATTAGAAATGCTTTAATAGTTTCAAAAGCATTGAATATTTATTGAAAAATCCATAATGAAGTCTGCCTACTCTAATTTCTCATTTGCTTTCTTTTCAGAAACAGTTTGAACTTTTTAAAATATTTATTAAATGTTATGACTATCAACTATCTATAATATTTTTCTGCTATCTTTGCTTGACACAGATTTCTAGCAGCACTCGGTAATTAACTATATTTCTAAAATTAATTCTGTTGCTTTTTGTTTTGCAGGGTCACAATCAAAAGCTATTAAAAATGTCATAGTATATTGACATTTATAAAATTTGAAATAAAAAAATGATATATATACATACCCTGAATTATTACTTTAAAAAAAAACATAACAGATAGAAATAACATCAGAATCAGAAATAAACTGCTTTGTGTCTCTTGTGTGTTGCCTCTTAATCCATTACCAGATTCAGAAACAGAAAATGCAAAAATGAACATAAGCAGATTAGGAATATGATAATTTATCAATACTATATTAAACTGTCAAATGAAGCGTCTTGCTGTGGGGGGGAAAAGAAAAAAGTCAATGATTCGAAAGTGATTTCCACAAAACATTTTTATAAAAATTGTTTCACTGTTACAGTAAGAATTGTAAATGTTAAGTCATGATGGATTTAGGATAGAAAATATCATAGAGAAATTAAACATTTTAGTGATCATCGTTATACCTATATGATGATTTTATCTGGGTCAAGGGCCAGCTGCATAGAGAACATTAATATATTTTTAATGGCACTGTTTATTCCATATTTGTCTAGAATATATTTATCCCTTTTTCTTCTTTTCAAGTTCTTCATTGTTCTCATCACTTAACTTTAGAGTGTGTTCTCATCAGTTGGTGGCAAAGGTTTAAAACCAATTATTGTGCTACAAGGTTTGCTTTTCCTTACCAAGGTCAACCAGCATGGTGACATTAACATTCTTATAAACCACCATTTCACACTGGTGTGGTATGAATGCATTGTATATGTGGTTCTCTAATCGATGAATGAGGTGATTTTAATAAACATCTGTGATGTGGTGGCATCAGAAACAGATTTATCCTTCAAATCCATAGCCCTGTCTGTCTAGAGACCCTGGTTAAAATATGGAAAAGTAGTAGCTTGTCATATATTTTATTTCAGATTAATAGTCTAACTGAATGGGTTTTTCATGATCTTCCTCATATGTAATATAAGTATAGAATTTACTTTCTCATACCTTTTCATATATGCAGATAACTGCAGTTGTGCTTTAATCAAAAATTGCAGTCCAAGTATTATAATCTGAATTTTCTTTAACCAGTACTATATTGTTGCTATCTTCCTCAGCGTCTTGCTTGGAAGGGTAGCCAGATTGAATTTTTTAAGCCAAATTATAAATTTGCTATTTCTTACTATGTGATTGGCATTAGAAAATTTATGTGTCTTTCCTGCCCTCCCCCATTCTAAAATAATTTGCATGAGACTTTATGTGTAGTATTTTTATAAATAATCTCTCAGAATATTGGATGGCATATTGCACCTCTCAGAATTTGAATGGGAATATTTTTATAGCAAAATGAAATCATCCAAAATTTTAACATTTGAGCATCTAGAATATTCTTGTGCTCATAGCAGTTTATAAAAGCAGAATTCCGAATCCAATTTATGTGTAGTTTCTTATGTTTCTGAATAGAGTTTTTAATCATGCAAACTGACTGTGAAATTGTTTATATAACTTTGTGAATAATATGGTTTCTTTATGTATTCTTGATAAATTGTATTTTACCATATCACTTAAGCTTAAGAACTTATATATATTGTCAGAAACAATACAAATTTTTATATATGACAAGATTAATTTTGCTGCAGATTCCACCTGTTTCATTCTATTATCCAAATCTGGTTAATGTATGCTGACAGCATCAAATATATATTTAAATTTATGCATCTTCCTTCAACTTTTTATTACTTGGCCTTAAAGGAAAGTTTTAATCCTATAACTTGGAACTATTTTAAATGAGTTTTCTCTCTTCCATAAAATCTTGTTTTAAAATGTACTTCAATTTTGTAACTTCTTAAAAAGAAAATAAATAGAAAGTAAATGTTCTTATTAAAAATAGGACATGATTTAACATGGAAAAGTTTGAATTTATTTTTCTTTTTTCATATTTTTTAATTATTAATTTATGTTATGCATATTGCTTTACATTATGTCTTTACAGATGCTCGGCAAATGGAATTATTGATGATTGAACTACAGAAAATTCAATGCAATTTCAGAACGCGACATAGTTCTCCTGGAAAGCCATAAAGTACTGATACATGTGGCTATGGTTAAAAAAATCTCTCTCAATGAAATGAATGCAAAGAACATGTTATATTCTAATTTAAATATGTCTATATATGATTCTGAATCTTCATGTTTATTGAATTGCAAATCTATTACACTTAATCTTTGTATGGAAAAACTTGCTTTAAGTGATGCCCAATTTGTGCATTTTGTAGTATAGTAAAGTTATTATTATGTTGTCAAAAACATATTAATATTATGGCAGAAAAATATGTTTTCAAAATTTTAAATAACTAAAACCTGCATGTTAACCACTTCACCAATTAGCCCAAAAGGGACTCAATGATTTAAAAATTGTTGTCAGACATTAACAACCTTACACATTTGTTGGGGTCACCCCCAACAGATACCCTTTACTTTGTGTTTTCCAACCCCCAAAATTCAGCAAAAATGAAAAGAGGTGATTGATGGCTTGATTGATCATGATTTCCCCACTCGTACAAAGGTAAGTTTGTTTAAAAAGAAAGAAATAGAAATGCACTTCTGGCCTCCATTTCAGCTGGTATTGCAATGAAACTACTTCTAATTTAAAAACATTTGTTAAAGGGATGGTCTTTGTTAATTTTCAGGTAAGAGACTAGTGAAAACAAATGAAATTTTTCTCCCATATAGGGAGACAAGTATGTAGTTTTCTAAATAGGGTTTTGATAGTTGGTGAAGGGGAAAAGATTTATTTCTAAGGCTGGTTTCAAATGCAAAAAAATTTATCTTTGGAGGAGGAAAGTAAAGCAAATATTTGAATTTTGTATGATGGTGAAGTGAAATATTTTGTCGTGCTTTAAACCTTGTCTTTAATTGTGTTATTTTTCAGTTGTTAACTATGAGCTTTTAAACTTAGTTCTAATCATTTGTCTTTCAATATATTTTATTTATAATTGAATAATTGTTTTTTATTCTACTTCTGTCCTTTTTTTATAAAATGTGCGTGTTGTTTTTGTTATGTATTTTCTGAAAAATTGTGTTTTTATTTATGAACTCCTTTAAACTACTTAAAAAGAAAACTACTTAAAATATTTATTTTTAAGGAAGAGGGATTTTGTTTTATATTAATATTGTTTTAACTTCATATGAGAAATATGTGATATGTTATTAAATTTAGCATTATAGTATTTATGTCATTAATCGTGTTTATTTTATGACATCCCCAAAATGGTTATGTATTTCTGTGAGATGTGAAAGATATTTATTTATAATGCATTACTTTATTTTGGCTATTGTGATAATTATTGTAGTACAAATTTAAACTGACATATAAAAATTATTCATAAGAGTACAGTTATAAAGCAGTATATTGTTGCTTATTTTCAAGACTTTTTAAGAGCTCTATTAACTTTTTAAAATATATCAGGTATTAAGATAATCAGGCATATTATCTGAATACCTGACTTTGTACATTTCTGAATTATATGATTTTTAATTATAAATTTAAAAAAAAACTGTGGGAAAATTTCTTTTAATTTCTATGTCAGAAAATTGAAATGTCTTTTGTAATTGAAATTATTTCATTTCTCAGCAATCTTCATCTAAAATTAAAATAAATAGACATCATTAAAGTTGTTCAAAATATGCAGAGCAATGTGTTAAAGGAAACAAGAACTAAATAAATTATAGATGTGCAAAGTCAATTTTTTCTAATTTTTAGATTTTGATTTTTGCTAATTTTTTATGTGCTGCAGAAAGGAAAATTTTCTTTTTAAAATGCATCTAATTCTTTTACATTAAAACTCATATCAATTTTTATGTCACATAACCTTTTTCTTTTATTATATTTTACTTTGTATGTTAACTAACTTGTGGTTTGGCTTACTTTGTTTTTAATGTGGAAAAAAAAAAACTGTATTAAAATACTCTTTTTCTTTTAATCAAAATTCCATCGCTTGATTCATGCTTTTTTTTTTTTTTTTTTTTTTTTTTTTTTTTTTTCCATTTAATCCAGAACTTCTAAATTAAAGACTTTGATTAAAATATTATAAGCTAGGTAATTAATTACTCTTTGTTGATGAATCATATAACCAGTTTATACTAATTTAGCAATTTGTCATGAAATGTCAGTTATCTGTACAACAGGAAGTATTTTATATGTAAGTATGATATAATGGTGATTAGTTACAAAACATGAAAAATGCTTAGATTTTTCATTTCAATCCTTATTAAAAAAATAAGAAATATTAATGTGGGCAATATTTTCTCACATAAATCAATTTATTAGTTAAAATGCCCATTTCATTCTTATCAGTGCTAAGAGTTCTTAAAATTGTTTCAAAATATTTCAATATTAAAACTATTATTTTTCAATATTTCTATACTAAAAGGTGTTACAAACACATATGTTAATACTATAGTGGCTTTTGCTTTAAAAGTTGAATGAAGTTTTCTTTTAAACCACCACTGTGAATTTTTATTACTATATTTTATGAAGTTATTTATTTTTTTAGATTTAATTTATTTTATGTTATTTCTACAATAATTTATTTATACTGCATATTGCATTTCAATCATTTATAACAATCCATTAATTGTAACTACAAGTGCAATTCATTTATTTTATTTACATTTGTTATTTTTTTATACACAAATATTATGAAATAAAGTTTTTATTTCGTTACATGTGTGTGCCTGAAATTTAAAAAATTATTGTTTGAAACTCATGGCAGTTGTCAAAGTTGATGGGGACTTGAAAATATTCTATAAGAATGGGAAAAATTTTCAAAAAAAAAGATAGAAAATAACTGAAAATATTTACTGTTAATTCATCATGTATATATAAAATTGATGAAACACAAATCATGATTGTCATTAAATCTCAAAGTGAACAAAAATTGTAATTTACCATATTTACCCTCAGATTTCTCCTCGCATAAGTCCCCCTAGCATTTTCGGCATAATTTAATTTCTGATTTATAGTAAAAATATGTAAAACATTGATAAATATGACAGTCTGTAAATGAAATGAAGGTTATTGAAAATAATAACTGTAACTGACTGCTTTGAAGACAGAATACAGTAATATTCATATAATGTCTATACCTATGTACATTTAAATTGGCTATATTTTTCAGCTTTTTTACCACGAAAATGGTATGCACTACTTATTTCTTCCCCTGGATTTTCCCAAAGTAAAATTAGTAATAGGAGAAGGAAAATTGTTCATGTAAATAGAATATATGGTAAAAATATTTGTAATATGTCAAAAATTTATAATGGCCTTAATTCAAAGAGTATATATATGAAGACTTTGACCTCGGTTTGATCCCGATTGAACGGGCTAGTTGCATGGTTGGTTTTCTTGTTTTTTCCCATGTGCAACTTGAATATAACCCAGTTTTCCTTAAAAAGTCATCCACGATGGCATCTCTTCTCATAACCAGATAGCTCTTGAGCACTTCGTCATATCCAAATAACCTAACCTCAAAGAGTAAATAAGCCTTTAAGAGGTCCCTGGTGTATGTTTATGGAGTCATGAAATTCTTAAATGGTGGTCTGTTTTAAAATTGCAAGAGAAATATTCCAATGTTAAGCAAAAAAGCAATTCAAAAGTTTTTTGTTTGTTTGTTTTGTGTAAGAGAGAGAGACTCTTCCAAATATGGAAATCGGAGATTAATCTAATTGTAAAGAACTCGAGGCATTAACTGAAGTTGTGTGCCAAAAAAATTAAGAGAAAACATTGAAGAATGGTTCATTGGCGATTCGACTGAGCACAGCTTTCAGTGCTTGAATGATTCCTGTATCGTTTCAAATGTTACAAAAACAGAAGAAGCAGAGAGTGATACTGAAAATACAAGTGAAGAATATACTGGCAATTGTATTAATCCCGCGAGTGCAATAATTTTTGTTGAAACTGTGTTGGACTTTGTCGATTAAAGAGTATCCGAATACATGATAAAATAGCATTTAAAAAAATACGCAGTGAAATTCGACAAATAGTCTCAAAAAAAATTAAAATTATTGCTTTGTATAAGAAATAAGCAGTGTGCATGAAAATTGATAGTTCGGATTATCCCCGTGACTTACTTATCCAGCATTAGCCCGGGTAATCGATAGTAACACTGTATACATTTTACACTGATCACTCCAACATCGAAGGTTTTATTTAAATGCAGTGCCATTGCACCATGTAATATAATATATAACAATTTTTTTTTTAATTGTCATAGATTCTAACTATATTTTTTGGCATCGTAGAATTGTATCGCTCATTATGATGGTGCTGGAGACATTTTTCAGTTAGATGCAATCATGGCACATATCTCTATTTTAAACTATTGGTTAAAAGTTTTGGTTTGCAAATTTATCATTACTATTGAATAAAAGACTTTAATTGTATTGTTGTTATGCAAGTGCATGCGTTATTAACATTGTATGCAAGAATCATGTGATGGGGATTAATTTTGAAATGACGCACTTCAGAAGGAATTATTATGAATACTTTATTATTTTCCTAACAGAAACGGAAATAACCGAATTAAAGAAGAGCTTCATACACGCATAAATATGTGGATTCAAATAATCCAAAAGTAACGTAACAATTCAATAATTCGAAGCCCACCAGCGGCCGAGCGGTAAAGTTGCTGAACACTGGTAGTTCGGGTCCGAGGTTCGAATCACGCGAACGGGCTGGCTGCATGGGTGTTTTCGTAGTTTTCCCCATGTGTAACGTGTATACGAGCCAGTTTCTCTTAGAAAGTCCTCCCACGAAGGCATCCCTCCCTTTAGGCAGATAGCCCTTGAGTCTTTACCATAATCACACACTCAATAATTCGAAAAGTTAGATAGTAGTAGCATGGTGTGATATTTACAGAAAGAACTTTTTTTTTTAATTAACGATAATGTTTTCCCCCGTATTAGTTACGTTTTCACGACAAATGGTGCTGTAGCATTCCCATAAAAGATGCATTTTGTATAGGATTAAGTGATCAGTCAGGATAATCCTCAAGATATATATTTACAAATCCAATATTTACAGAAACTGAAACAACCGATTTGGAGAGAAGTCATGAATTTCAAATTACGCTTTTGAATAGACAGGAAACGTACGGACCGATTGTTAAACGTCTTGTGGACTTACGAGGCGTGCTTTTCGCTTGTTGAAAGTGTAATTCGCGCAACTGGCCGCATCTAGGAGAGATATGACATGAAGGAAGTCAGGCGAACACCTACGTAATACCGTAGGTTTTGCTGAACCTAGCTAATGCGTAGAGCAGACATGGCCAAACTACGGCTCTTCGACACCTTAACTGTGGCTCGCGAGCTGCTTGCATCTTTTGCTATCTAAAATGCGACTTGTTTCGAAAAATATAGTTTAACTTTTTAATACAAATAGAATTTGAAATAGAAATCATCCAGTGCCACGTTTCTTTATTAATCGCTAATTTAATTTCCGATATGTATGTAAAAATTTGATAGATTTCAAACTGTTTACTGCTGGATTATCATCAGAAGAACAAATAGGTAAAATTACAAATAATTCCATTTCTGGTAATTACTCTTCTAGTTATGTTACTTTTTGAACTGGTAATGGTCATCGAAATATACTAATATGAAGTTAATCTAAAACGCAATGCTAACATTTTTAATTAATTATTCTCCCTAATATTTTTTCTCTCGAGTTAATTTTACTGCAAGCAGTATCTGTTTATATTCCTGTGTGATTCCACTGTTCACAACAGTTGTGGTCCACCTGGAAGATTTGCTATTCTGTATAGGGTACTTAAATTCAGTCCTTGAATGGCGTGAGTAACTGCAAAAACCTGTTTCGCCTTGCAATCCATATAGAGAGTTTTTCATCTGTGGAAGAATTTTATGAGGATTTTATTTTTGGTGGAGTAAACCTTCAGCCTCTTTACTTGGTTAGGAGACTTGTCTCAATTTTCTGCGGAACTCCTTCAAAATTAATTTCCTATCCCTCAGCAAACCAGGCATTTTTATGCAATTGCTTCACAGAGTTCGCAAGCATTCGTAATAACATGCTTCCTGAGCACTTTCCTTACATAGAACTTCATCTTTCGTAATAATTCCTTGGTAATCCTAGGCAGAGATCGTAATTTATTTCACCAGTGGCTATGTATGCTGAAATATTTGAAGTCGTTGGAAGAATCACTGACAACGATTTAAATTTTAATCAAATTGTTTAATTCCCATTTTATTAAATATTGTCATTCCAGAGAGATCTTTTACCTTAACCATCAATATCTATGCATCAAGCAATGAGGGATCAACAAGAACACAAATGTCTCTCTTCTCCAAAGTTTCTGTCAAAATCGGCGTATTGATATTGGTGAAATCTGTTTAGCTTGTGATATATTCTCGTATTTTTCGATTTCTTGTTTGATGACCTTCTTTTTTTCTACCTCGCACTAGGTTAGAGGCATTTTGCTGCACTAGGTTAATCTGTTGATATTTTATCTCTTCCTAATTTTCGATCAACATGTACGTCTGACATGTCCTTAATGAAAACTTAGTAGCCAAACGAAAAGTTTTTCAGTGATCCACTGGTTTATCACTACAAATGTCCAGCAATAATGTGAAATTTTGCTCCTGTAAACGTTTAAAGTCTGATCTTTTATTTTTTGAAGTATCCTTTGCCTGCAGACTACATTTCAAACTCCATTTAAGATTTATTTTCTGTATGCAAGTTAGGTAACCAAATGGTTAGTTCACCTATTTGGCAAGCTCTTAGGAACAGCTTAGGAAGCTCTATTTTGCAGATGTCTGCCGTATTACAAAAAGCCTCCACATAGAACATCGAGCATGTCTCTAGAAATATGAAGAGTTACGCGTTCATGTTATATCTGCATTTGCGAAATAAATTCATTATAGTAGTGACCGATATGTTTTGTTTATGTAACATTAGTTTTGATTTGCCATGTATATGAAAAACAGCTAGATTGAAGAGTTCGGCTGGTACAGATGGAATATGCGCTTGAAAGCGTTTGTATAGCCCTACGT